AGGTACAATATTTTCTGCCTTTCAACATAACCACACAAATGCACGATATTTTTACTTAGCCAGTATTAATTGAGTACCTACTACTATGTGCCAGGCATACTACTTATTTTCTTATTCAATACAAAAACAATCCTCAAAAATATTAGAGGCAGAAATATTTTTATTTACTTCCTATCAATTCAACTTACCGCAGTTCGCATTAAATTAAGGCCTTCCCATATTATAATTCCAGAGGCACCCAGAGCAATAGTTTCGCCAAGTGTATGCAAGAGGTCAACCTGGCAAATGCAACAGGAAAAGTTAACAGAAAGGTTCAAAATGAAAGTGTTATGCCAGTAACACCAAAGCTAAGCATGGTCACCCAAAAATAATAATTTAAATATTTCTCCACTATCTATTTCTATCCTTTACACAGCCATCACCCTGTAATAAAGAAAAGAAACTATTACCTGATTTGAGGATCACGTACTGCACACAGGTATATTGATATTCAACTCTGTACCCCACAGATATGTACAATCAATTATCTTTCAATTAAATAAATAAATAAGTAAGTAAAGTTTTACTTTTTCTACTTTTTTTAACAAGAGACTTATTATTTTAATTACAACTGTTGACAAGAAAGCAAGTCCATTAAAGAAAAAAAAAAGAAATTGAGTTAATAAAATCTCTATACACCCAATTCTCCATGATTCCTAAGAGATTATATGAGTACATTAAAGATTAAATATATTCTTATTTTGCATTGATGGAATGATATAGAACTATTTGTGTGCATATTCTTAAATAATATTAAAAGCTCGATTGTAAACTTTACAAAGATCTCAACTTTAAGTGTGGGGAGTTCATTTCAATTTACAAGATGGAGGACCTATTCCTGTGTTTGGATGAATAAAATTATTTCCTCCTATGTATGATTAAATTCTAAAATAATTAACATTTGTCCCATCTTTTCAAAAATGATACTAAATTTCACTAAACACCACCATTTGTGGATATTATTTCATAGCCCTCATACCGTAACTTACCGCTGAAAGATACCTCGTAGTTAGATCAGTATAAACTGGGCGAGCATATACATAAACCGGAACTGGATTTTTAGCATCACGTACTTTAGAAACCCTAATGGCTTCCTGAACACGGTTACGGACAAAGAGTGCAGCTCCTCGAACAGATGAGATGCTGTTGAAATAGATGGATGGGAAAAGGGCAGTGCTTTCCTTCCACAGCCATTCGAGATCGTCATTTCTACGCTTTTCGATATCGTAGCAATTTCCATTGTAACCAGGGTTATTATAATGATGGTTGTAACAATCAGGAAAAAGATAATAACCCCATAAGTGATTTGGTCGAAGTAATTTTCCCAGTTTTAAAGTCTCTTGCATGAAAGTCTTTCCTGCCTTTTCAAACTCTTCTTTGGCTACCTTGGCAGCATCTTTGGCATTAAGGCTTACATTTTGTTGCTGAACCAACTCAATAGACCGATTCCTGTAAATATCTTTAGGTGCCCAGTTTCTTATCCAGGTGGGCCTCCATTCTTCCCAGTCAATAACAGCTAAGCCCACCTTGTCTATTGGCAAGTAATAGGCAATGTCTTTTTTAGCTTTCTCCAAATGTTCTTTTAAGGACCCACTCTGGGGGATTCCTCCATACACACTTTCGCCTGTCTTTACATCTATATGAGGATAGTAGCCAAGTCGATCTACATAAAATATTGTAACATCTTGCCCTGTGGCATCTTTTTGGGGGCTTCCTAGTAAAGAGAAGAGGCTGAGATCTAAAGGCACATTAAACTTTTTATCACAAACATCAATTGGGGCATTCCAGGCCCAGAGGAAAGGTATATTTGGTAGAAGAGGGGGTGCTATGAAATTCAGACTCAAGCAACATGGAATCAGAAAGAAGGCAAAAACTGTCTGGGATAGTCCATTGGACTCAAAAAAGCCCTCAGAAAAGATGTGTTTGAGCGATAGCACTCCCATTGCAGAGAGTAATGGCTATGAAAAACACTTATTTCTTCCTACACACTTTGGTTTACCCAATATTTGATGGAAGATATGAGCACAGATGAAAAATAGTGGAATGATGTCACTGTGATGAATAAAGAGGTATAATGATTGTGTTAAATTTCTATACTTTCTTCTTGTTTCCTGTTCAGGAATGTTTTGCAAGTTGCATCATCTATAACTGAAAAAAATATAGAATATGTTGTCATGCTGCATTTCATAATACCGATTGTAAACTTTACAAAGATCTCAACTTTAAGTGTGGGGAGTTCATTTCAATTTACAAGATGGAGGACCTACTTCTGTGTTTGGATCAATAAAATTATTTCCTCCTATGTATGATTAAATTCTAAAATAATTAACATTTGTCCCATCTTCTCAAATTATTACTGAATCTGCAGAGAGGTGAATGTAGCTATTTTTCCTTTTTCTTTCCCACCTCTGCAGATTGCTGTACCAAGCAATACCTTAGCAGAAACCCGTTGAATTAAAATAAAATCCAAGTTGAACTTCTCATGTTTGTTTATTGCTTCTTGAAAGACCACTCTATAGTGGTCTGCCAAATATTAAAAACAACCTGTCCTAAAATTGTGAAATTTCATATTTCTTTTTCTTTTCGTCTTTTATTGAAGGGGATCAGTGAGGAAGGAGGGAAAAGTCACTTCTGACAGAGGTAACAAGACAATAGTTTGCTTGAAACTATAGAATCAACCAAAAACTCCTACCAAAATGATAGCTTAAGTGCTCTTTGGAATACTGCTTGATCAAGTCTTACAATAATGTACTATCATGTGTAAAGTTAATAAAATATTTTACTATTTTATAACATTTACTAAAAGGATTGGTTCTAGCCTAACTTCATTAAAGCAATATATGACTTTTGGTATTTTTATAGTGTTTGGTAAGTGAGATTGTGTTGTGGTTCTGATTGTCACAAAGTGAAGTGTTACAGCAAATTTTCTGGTACAGTAAAATGGTCTGAGCCAAGGACAATAAGTTAAACTATGTACTATTCAGCATTTGGCACTTGGGAAAATTACCTACAAGAAGATATATTTAAATGTTCCAGTATTTCTTTTCTTAATTCTTTTTTATTTATTTATTTTTTGGTGGCTACCTGGTAAGCAGAACCTTTCTTTATACCACACTTCCCTGGAATGTGTCCTTACCATAGCAAATTATCCGTTCATTCCCATCACTATGAAATAAATTACTCTAAAAACACCACCGGTGTCAGAATAAAATGAAATCTTGAAAACAATTAAAGTCTCATATTTTGAAGATAATGAAATTTTTCCTCATGTTTAGAACATGTAAACTAACTAAAGATTTTTATAGCTTATACCCTTAAAAACTTCCTTACTCAGGGCCTAGAAAATCTTCCCCTAAAGTAATACTGGGAGAAAAAACTAACTCCTTTCAAATCCAACTACCAATACCAATGCTGAACAGCAAGAACAGGGAGAAGGAAATGGAATAAAGGATTAGCTTTCCCTATATCTCACAGAAGGAGTACACCAAGTTTATTGAAATTAACATTCAACTCTAATTTCTACATGATCATTTTATGTAAGGATAATATTGCACAGAATGAGTCTACTGAGAAGGTCTTTACTCACAGAAATCTTCAAAAAACAATGGACACTTCTATCTTTGAAAATTAAATGAACGAAATAGCTCTTCTTTAGTGTCAATCTTCTGACAAAGTGTTGGAGCACAGAATTGGGGACAGACCTAGAAGTTAGCATCTAAAATACCATCTTCCTTTTATTTAAAGCATCTAATAGAGACCTTTACCTGTTTAAAGCGTCTTATACAGAATTTCATCTCCATAGAAAATCTCAACTGATTTAACCCCAGATAATTAAATATTGAACTTATCTACAGCTAGCATTCCTAAAGTCTGTGCTCAATTTATACCTACTAAAGTCACCTCTTAAGTGTCCTCCTTGCCCATTGTGTGGATAATTGCTTCTTAAAGCACTCCTGCTAAGTCTTTGAAATCCCCCAAACCCCAGCAATGGTACTTACCCAGAAGCCTACTTTCAAAGTCCAATTACTCAACCTGTCTAGTAGTACAAAGGCAAGAAGTGGTCTGGTCTCAATGGCTTCCTAGAGCATTGACATGTCATTAGTGTGCCTTTTAGATAAAAGAAAAAGATATTTTTATATCAAAATTTACTTGGAAGTTTAAGATCTGAATGCATCTAAAATCATATTTAGATTGAACTCTTTCCTGTTGTAAAGAAATTTTATCACCAGAACACATGCTAGCTAAATCCTTTGACCCAGGAATCCCTTCTCTGATGATAAGTCCAAAATTATTTTGTAATAAAATAGATATATTTATATAATTTTATATACAATATAAATTTTATATGTATTATATAAATTTATATAGCTATGTGTAGATATTCACACAAGTAGTATTCACTACTATGTATTGTAGCATACATGAAATGAGAAAATATAAAAAACAACTTTAATACCCATTGATAAGAAATGCTTAAATATGGTATCAGCCTGATAATTTATGCAATATCAGAACTAGTTACAAGGATAATGAAACAATATATATAGATGTTTGCCTAAATACCAAGTGAAATAAAGTACAAAAATATACACTATCAGTTTAGGCATAGAAAAACATGTAAGCACATGCTTAAGGAATTGAAGAATATTCAGAAATATGACAGAATGTTTACATTTTCTGAGCATCCATTATATAATTTTTTTAATGTATTGAATTGTACATTTTTATGGGGTACAGTTTGTTGTTTCAATACATGCATATGTTGTATAATGGTCCTATCAGAATAGTTAGCATATCTATCAACTAATCTTATCATTTCTTTGTGGTTATGACATACAAGATCCTCTTCGCTAGCTATCTCACAATATACAATACAATATTGTTAGCTATAGTCACCCTAGAGTAGCAGAATGTATTCTTCCTATTTAACTAACTTAGTAACTTTGTAGCTGTTTACTAACCTCTCCCTATCCCCCATCCCCCCTCCTCTTTCCATCCTCTGGTAACCACTATTATACTATTTCTTTTTTGTTTTTTTCTTTTTATGTATCTTTTTCCTAATTGACCCATGATTTATGGAGTTTAATTTGATATTTGAGCACATTTATACAGTATGCGATGATCCTGTCAGGATATTTAGCACATCTGTCCCCTCAAATATTTGTCACCTGTTCATGTTGGGAACATTAGAAATCCTTTCAATTAGCTACTTGAAGTTACCAGTAATTTGTGGATGACTTGAGTCTCCCTATGCTGCTGTAGAATCCTTGATCTTATTCTTCCTATGTCTCCACAATTTTGTATCTACTGACCACCTTCTCCCCATCCGCTCTCCAGCCTCCCTTCCCAGTCTTTAGTAACCACTATTCTACTGTCTACCTAGTAAGTTGGGGTGTATGGGAGATGATTAGATTGTAAGGACTGTGCCCTCAAGAATGGATTGATCCATTCATTAAGTAATTGGCATGGTTCTGATGGCTTTAAACAGGGCAAGTGAAAAGATTAGCTCACTCTTGCTCAGCCATTTCTTGTCATGTGACACCCTGCATTGCTGTAGGGAGTGACCAGCAGAAGAAGACCCACCAAATGTGTTCCCTGGAGCTTGGACTTCCAAGTCTCCAAACGGTAAGCAATGAATTTTGTTTCTTTTGTTTCACATATTCTGCTATAAGCAACAGAAATAAACTAATACAAGGAGTCAATCATGAGACCATCTCCACAATCTACTCTTTTGGTATTCACATTTCTCATGAGTCTATGCACATATGATCTCAATTAATTTAATTTATTTATTTAAATTTAGATAAAATCCTCTTACCATTAAAGTAGATTTAGATTTTGAATATAAATTACTATTATAAGTGTAAAGGTAAAAACTCGGAAATATAGTCAAATATTAATAAAGGCAAGATTGTAACTTTGGTGAAAGCAGAACATAACTGAAGGGGTGGGTGGGTGAAGGAGAGATTCCCAAGGTTTAAATCATTCACGGGGCAGTCCCAAGAACAAGTAAACATGATAAAGGCTTTGTTACAATACTAAACAAATAGTCCCTAGCCTCTGGAATCCTCAAGATACTGAATATAATTTTAATGTATCTAGATTACTTCCAGAAATACTGTGGTAATCATTCCTTAACACAAAAATAAAAGGCAACTTCCAAGTGAGCCACAGGCCAGAAGTTTGTTGCCTTGTATCATAATCACATTTGATAGGGTGTGTATCGTTTCCAAAGTTTATAATTTCAACTTAAGGGCTGACTTCTACACTCACTTACCAGCGTAGGGGCCAAAGGAAAACTTCTTTACCCCTGAAGATTCATTAATAAAGATCACTGACAAATTTAGATCAATATAAAGAAAAGGCATAACAAATTTTATTATTTAACATGCTGGGAAGGGGCAAAGCAGGGGGGAATCACAAGAGAGTGATGTCCCAATTTTCCACTGGGGTACAGAGCTTATATACCCATCTTCATGTGGAAAGGGGAGATGGGGAAGGGCGTGTAGGAATACAGGATTTTTAAAGGTGTGTAATGGGCCTGGAGAACATATAATGATCCAGAACAAAGCTTGTTTGGCCCACACAGCAGAAAATGACTGGTAAATGATTACTTTTTTTTTTTTNTTAAGTGCTCTTTGGAATACTGCTTGATCAAGTCTTACAATAATGTACTATCATGTGTAAAGTTAATAAAATATTTTACTATTTTATAACATTTACTAAAAGGATTGGTTCTAGCCTAACTTCATTAAAGCAATATATGACTTTTGGTATTTTTATAGTGTTTGGTAAGTGAGATTGTGTTGTGGTTCTGATTGTCACAAAGTGAAGTGTTACAGCAAATTTTCTGGTACAGTAAAATGGTCTGAGCCAAGGACAATAAGTTAAACTATGTACTATTCAGCATTTGGCATTTGGGAAAATTACTTACAAGAAGATATATTTAAATGTTCCAGTATTTCTTTTCTTAATTCTTTTTTATTTATTTATTTTTTGGTGGCTACCTGGTAAGCAGAACCTTTCTTTATACCACACTCAGGATACTGAATATAATTTTCATGTATCTAGATTACTTCCAGAAATACTGTGGTAATCATTCTTTAACATAAAAATAAAAAGCAAACTTCTAAGTGAGCCACAGGCCACAAGTTTGTTGCCTTGTATCCTAATCACATTTGATAGGGTGTGTATCGTTTCCAAAGTTTATAATTTCAACTTAAGGGCTGACTTCTACACTCACTTACCAGTGTAGGGGCCAAAGGAAAACTTCTTTACCCCTGGAGATTCATTAATAAAGATCACTGACAAATTTAGATCAATATGAAAAAAAGGCATAACAAATTTTATTATTTAACATGCTGGGAAGGGGCAAAGCAGGCGGGAATCACAAGAGAGTGATGTCCCAATTTTCCACTGGGGTACAGAGCTTATATACCCATCTTCATGCGGAAAGGGGAGATGG